GTGCATTAGTGCACATGGTGTGGGTGACGTGCACATCTGTGAAGGCACCATTAATGATGAATGATATATACATGTTTTGGAGCAACATATGCTGCCATCCAGACAACGTCTTTTTCAGGGAAGGCCAAACTACATTCTGCAAGTACTGTATTACAACAGCATTGCTCCATATTAAAAGAGTCCAGGTGCTAAACTGGCCTGCCTGTAGTCCAGACCTGTCACCAGACCTGTCACCCCGAACTGATGAGCAGCTGAAATCCTATATCAAACAAGAACAGTAAAACATTAAACTTTCAAAACTACAGCAGTGTCTCCTCAGTTCCCAAACGCTTACAGAGTGTTGTTAAAGCAGAGGTGATGAAACACAGTGGTAAACAGGCCCCCGTCCCAACTTTTTTAGAAAGTGTTGTTGGCATCAAATTCAAAATGGACATATTTTCTTCAAAAAACAATAAAATTTCTCAGTTTCAACATTTGATATGTTGTCTTTGTAGTATTTTCCTTTAACAATATGATTTACATGATTTGCAGATCATTGCATCCTGTTTTTATTTACATTCTGCACAGCGCCCCAACTTTTTTGGAAAGGTTATAGTAAAATGAGGGGGAGTTCATGGTATGTGGACAGATGAGTGTATAATGGACCAGTAAGTGGACAAACAAGGATCTAAAAAGTGGATACAGAGTGTTCTTCTGACCAATCATGTTTAAACATATACACTTTTTTAACTGCTTAAACAGCAGGTGTAAATTTGAGTTATATTTCAGACAGAGAGATAGACAGACAGTTGGGTAGACAGGTAGCTACTCTGAATTATTCAGTAAATACTATGAATTATTCAGTAACTGGAATTAATTATTCAGTAAATACTTTTAAGTATTCTGTTACTGTAATAAAATATTCAGTATCTACTATGAATAATTCAGTTACTGAAATAAAATATTCAGTCAATACTATGAATAATTCAGTTACTATTATAAATGATTCACTAAATACTATGAATAATTCAGTTACTATTATAAATTATTCACTAAATACTATGATTAATTCAGTTACTGCAATAAATTATTCAGTATCTACTATGAATAATTCAGTTACTGCAATAAATCATTCAGTATCTACTATGCATAATTCAGTTACTGCTATAAATTATTCACTAAATACTATGAATAATTCAGTTACTATTATAAATGATTCACTAAATATTATGAATAATTCAGTTACTGCAATAAATTATTCAGCAAATACTATGAATAATTCAGTTACTGCTATAAATTATTCTGCAGCTACTATGAATAATTCAGTTACTGCAATAAATGATTAAATATCTACTATGAATAATTCAGTTACTGTAATGAATTATTCAGTATCTACTATGTAAGTGTTACTATATAAGTATCAATTATTCTAAAAAGTATTCAGTAGGATCTATAAATAATTCAGTCATTGCTATGAATCACACAGTAACTATAATGAAGGTATGTGGCTAAGGGAGTGAGGACCTGATGTGTGGACCCACCTACAGGCCCTAAGAGTTAAACTTTCCTGGAGAAGTGGATGTTGAGTACAGACATTTATAAGAAGGTTGAAGAGAAAGAATGATGGAGTGGGTAGAACAGAAGGAGAGTATGGAAGAGAGGGAACGGGGAGGGCGAGAGATGTAGAGAAAGAGAGGGAGAGAGAGGGTAGGTAATCCTGTTTAATTGCTTTAGGATCGTGTTGGGTTGACGGTAAGGAGATTGAGGTGCTCTCTGGGTCATCGGCTAAAATAACCCTACACACCCGGTCGCCCAGGCAAGGCCGCACACACACGTCGTCATGACAACATAGCAACCAGACGGCGGCCATGACAACGGCCGTCTGTCTCTCCAGGTGCTCCTTCACCCCTCCACCCCAAGGCACCTGTCCCACAGCGTTCAACAGTTTGGATTTACGGTTCTGACTGATATAAAACCAACTTGGAGAGATGTATAACATGACTCTGATAGGCCAGTCATGTAACTTCATAGGTTCTAAATAATTAGTAGGAAGCAAGAAATCTGAAAAAAATATATGTGTCCAGAATATTTAACTTGATTAAGTTATGTAAAGATTTATGTAAACCATTTACCACTTTATTAGAAACCCCTCCATTGAACACACTTAAAACAACAGTTCTTCAAGGGTTCTTTAGTAAAGGCATGGCTGTATTTAGAACCATGGGACCATTTTATCCTTAAATGGTTCTTCGCATGGTTAAATGGTTCTTCAGACTGATGGAGAATGTGCTGTATACGGTTCTATCCAGCACGAAAAAGGTTTTTTGTTACAACGTCAAGCTTGGAACAACAGAAGAATCTTTCTTGGTGCTGTATAGAACCATACACAGCACATTCTCCATCTGAAGAACCATTTCACCATGCAAAGAACCATTTAAACATAAAATGGTCCCATGGTTCTAAATACAACCATGTCTTTACTAAAGAACCCTTAAAGAACCATCGTGCAACCTGTTCTTTGATTGTTCATGGCTCTATATAGAACCTTTGTCTTTACTAAAGAACTCTTGAAAAAAAACATAATTTAAGTGTGTGGTTCCACCTTGCTGGTATACAGGTAATGACTGTAGCCTGTTTTTGTTAGCCATCCTCTAGCCCTTCATCAGGGATCAGTTTCCGACCACAGAGCCAGTCTTGCAAGGATATTTTGGGCAATGAACCACTCTCAAGCTAGCAGTGTGTATTCCACACAAATAATATCTAGTAGAAAAGAGCCCTTTGGTGAGAATAGACTAACAATGAATGGGATAGAGGAGAGTTAATAAACTGTCCAGCAATAGATGGGCTACTGCCTTAATTATGTTCCTTTATAGGGGTCCTATAAGGTAGGTGGAGCTCATAAAGTGACCAAAGAGTGGAAGATGAAAATAGTGAGTGGAACTGGACAATGTGGATAGCAAGTCAATTCTCATTTTGGGGAGTTCTCATTTATTTTCTTTTCCATCTACAAGATGATTTCTAGATATATGGTTAGCTAAACATCACCTTAATTCGCAGTATGTTTTATTGTATCATATTTTATCAGTGTATCTTGACTAGTATGTTAGCTTGTGGCTGGTGTGTTAGCTTGGAGCTAACATATTAGCTTACAGCTAGAGAGTTAGGTCAGGGCTACATCTTTTTTTCAAATGTTGTACTTTTATACTGTTAAACGCTCTAATAAGCTCAAAATGGAAACATTAACATATTCATGTAAGGCACATTTCAGCCTCTTCTTATTTTTGCTTTTTTGTAAAATACGTCAAATTGAGTCACCATTTGGTTGTATTAAATCAAACTCTGAATATGTGTGGACTGTTACAGCCCAAAGAAACACCCTTGGGATGTGCTAGACTGTCCTAAAGGAGAGCCTTGAGGTTGTCAAGGTATGAAAAACATCACCCATACAGAAAAGGATCCATAGACGGTCTTTCAATAACAAGTCAAGTTTAATGATATCTCGATCTAGCATAAAAGCACACCGTACAATCTGGCGTAACTTAACAGAACAATACATCAATAACAGCAAGCTAAAAGCACAACACAGTAAATCCTATAGTCTCCTAGAAGAAAAATCAAATTGAAGTAGAAAGTAGAAAGATGTCGGCGGTGCCGTTAAATACAGCTGGACAGAGACTGGGCTAAGAGATTCTTCTCTGAATATGCGTGTGAAAGTTCCTTGTCTGTGTGTCTGTATGTGTGTGTGTGAGGTAAATTCATAATACTGATGACTGATCAAGATTCTGGAGGAGTCCATTTGCTCTTGATCTGGGCCTTGGAGAAGCGGCTGCCTTGTTTCTCCATTGTCGTAGTGTGAATCATTTTCGATTCAGTCCGTAAAAGTCACCGGAGTTAAACCGGTGACTGATTGTGCTCACTTTCTTCCATCTTTGCGATCCCTCTTCTTTTCTTGCTAGCTGAATCTTGAATGGCTCCCTGCTCCCTGCATAATGCACTACCAGGCCATGAAATAATAGTTACAAAATGCACTACACGTCCAACAGGGAGCAATTTGGGACTTTTCCTCTTGAGTCCTAGAGACCCACTGCTTTGGACAATTCAAAGGTATTCCCTGACCCAAAACACCTGATCCAACTCAACAGCTAATTATCAAGTTGGACTGTGTATGTTGGGGTCATGGGAAGACTTGGAGATTAAAACTGTACAGGAACAGTGAGTCCCCAGGACTGGAGCTGCAAACTCCTGCTCTACAGCACCTGGAACTTGTTGCCAACTTGTTTCTCCCTCTTCATGGTGCAAATAATTTCAGATTCAGTTCATAAAACCCTCCACTGTAAACCCAAGCTCTTCACAATCTTCACTTGCTTGCTAGTTGAACCTCAAACAGCACCCTACTTCCTACCAAGTGCACTACGTAGACCATAAAATAAAGGCTTTGATCACTAGACTAGGAGTACCCAACTTTGAATACTGGGTATCTGCCTACTGGATCCTGTCAGGGTTGGAACCCAATTCCACAAGTAGATCTCCAGAAGTTGGGTACCCCTGCCCTACACAGTGCACTACACCTTCAATAGGAAGCACTCTGGGATTTGGCTGATTGTTGTATTCCCTTCCCCAACAAACCTGATGCAACTAATCAGCTCATTAATAAGCTCTTCATGAGTAGGATCAGATATGTTGGGGAAAGGAAATACTTGACAACTGTGCAGGAACTGTGGGTCTCAGGACTGGAGCCTAGAACCCTTGTTCTAAAGCAACTAAAACCTGCAACCACTTAGTATCTCTTTCTTCAGGAAGTGAATCACTTCAGATTCTGTCCATGAAACTCTTATTGGTGTCCCTCTCTTATGTCTTGCCTATCTTCACTCTCTCTCTGGCTAAATCTCAAATGGCTCCCTGTTGTCCTGCATAGTGCACTACGTAGGCCATGAAATGAAGGCTTCTTCTAAAGCCTACACAGTGCACTACGCATTTGACAGGAAGCTATTTGGGGCTCAGCCGACGTCTCTCTGCCACTTCTACAGCACCTGGAACTTGTGGTCGAGGCAGTCCACGGTGCTGAAGTTGAGCTTCCAAGCCTGCTGGTCCTTGTAGTCCAGGCAGTCGACGGAGCTGAAGCCCAGCGAGGAAGCACCATAGCCCTGTGAGGAGAGCGAGGGCGACTGGCTCAGGGAGCCTCCCATGGAGGGCACAGCCAGGGGCGACAGGGCACCCCCGCTGGCAGACAACTGCGAGGTCATGGGGGACAGGTAGGGGCTGCAGTCGAGGCCGCCGAAATACGGTGACGAGCCATAGCCCTGGCCATAGGAGGATGATGGCTGGCCGTAGCTCATTGGGTAGGGTGCAGGACGCTGCATGCAGGGGGTTCCTGTGCCACACAGGGGGTCTGGGAGCGGTGACAAGGAGGTGGGGCTCCAAACAGACACAGGTGCCGTGGCAACGGCGGCACTAGAGCTGGGGGCCACCACAGGTGGGGCTGGGGGCGGGGCCACGGACGAACCTGAGCCAGGATCAGAGGGCAGCTCCGGTGGCGGAGAAGACTTCTTCTTGGGGGGGCGGGGCTTGGGCTGGCCACTGGTCTGCTGCTGCTGTTGGCGGCATTTGGCACGGCGGTTCTTGAACCACACCTTAGAGACAGCGAATGAGAAAAGGAAGTACATCAATAATATCTTCTGGTATAGCATATAGATTAATTATAGACAATATATGAATATATTTTGTTAAAAAAATTGTTTATATATGTAAGATTAAATGATTGCAATGAACAACTATATATTAAATCCAAGCATACAGAAAGTATTTTAAAATAAAGCTGAATAACACAGTACCCACTGGGTGCCCCCACATCATATACCACAAAGATGGCACCAGAGCTTTGTAGATCAGACCAGCTCAGATGCATCTCTTATTGTTTCACCTGTTGTAGGGTAGACCTACCTCAAATTTACCTTTATTCAGGTAATTCTTATCAACACTTCAATCCTAGATAGACCTTACTTTAACCACACATAGTCATGTCTGTACTCAGGTAGGCCTCACCAGAGAATGTCTCACTTGTTTTCAGGTAGATCTCACCTGTTCTCAGGTAGCCTCTTACCTGTTCTCAGGTAAGTCTTACCCACGTTTTATGACTTCTGAGATAAGCCTAATCTTAAAAATATATTTCCATGCCTGTACCCAAATAAGTCTTACCTAAGAGTGTCTCACTTGTTCCCAAGTACTTCTCATCTGTTCTTAGGTAGATCTCACCTGTACTCACATTTCATGACTCCTTGTGTTTTTAACCATAGATTGTCATGTCTTTCTTTAGATTGGCCTCTCCTGAGAGTCTTACCTGTTCTCAGGTAGATCTCACCTGCAACTCACCTGTTCTCAAGTAAGTCTTATCTACACTTCATGACTTCTGAAATAAGCCTGATCTCAGAAACACATTATCATGCCTATACGCAAGTAGGTCTCACTTGAGAGTGTCTCACTTGTTGTTGAGAGATCTCACCTGCAGCTCACCTGTACTCAGGTAAGTTTTATCCACACTTCATGATTGCTTGAAGACATGTCTTTACTTAGACAGGCCTCACCTGAGAGTCTCACCTGTTCTCAGGTAGATTTCACCTGTTCGCTCCTTTTCTGCAGCTCATCTGTACTCAAGTCAATCTTACCCACACGTAATGACTGAGATAAACCTCATCTTAGAAATACATTATCATGCCTGTACTCAGGTAGGCCTCACCTGAGAGTTTCTCACTTGTTCTGAGGTAGATCTCTAGCCCTTTATCAAGGGTCAGCTTCTGGCCACAGAGTCACTCTTTGGATATTTTTGGGCAATGACCCGCTCTCAAGCTAGCATTGTGTATTCCACCAAATAATATCTAGTCAACAGCAGCCCTGTGGTGGGAGATTGACTAACAATGAATGAGGTGGGGGAGAGTTGATAAACTGTCCAGCAATAGATGGGCTACAGCTTTTAATTATATTCCTTCAGGGGTCCTATAAGTTAGGTGGAGCTCATAAAGTGGCCAAAGAGTGGAAGATCATTTTCCATCTACAAGATGATTTCTAAATATTTGGTAAGCTAACCATCACATTTACTTCAGTCATCAACTCCAATTTGGATCTCCAATTTGGTTTGTTATTATTGAATTGTACTGTAGTATATTTTATTGAATCACATTGTACCTGCATCTCACCTGTACTCAGGTAAGTCTTACCCATAGTTCATGACTGCTCAGGTAGGCCTCATATGCTTCTTGCAGTATCTCACCTGTACTCTGGACTCAGGCAGGTTGATTTTGAGCGCCACCTCCTCCCTCATGAAGATGTCTGGGTAGCGCGTCTTCGTGAACAGAGCCTCCAGAATGTCCAGCTGGGTGCGGGTGAAGGTGGTCCGCTCTCTACGCTGCTTTCTCGGAGTGGCTGAACAAACACAGAAACACACAAAAACATACAACACATTTAATCTCAGGTCCTCCTACTTTTACATCATATAAAGAGACAGAATGCTCTCAGGTGAGCATGTCTGAGGCCAATTTCATCACTTCAGGGTTAATTTATGGGACATACATTGAGTTTGTGATGTAATGAATCATATTCTTTAATTCGAAGTTGAGTTCCAGCTCTGAAAACAAACTAAACTATTTATTATTCTTTATAGAGCCTTCAGTAAGTGTTTATATATGTGTACAGAGTGTGTGTTTTGAGCTTAAGAGTCTTCCTTATTGGCGGTGAGAGTGGGGTGCCCCTATGAATGACGTCACCCCACGTCTTCCACAGGCTTAAAGCACAGCAAAAAAAAGATATTATTATTGTAATATGCAAAATTTATTTACTTCATTTCCTTTTTTACATACCTGCTATTTGTATTCACGTCAAACTCACATTTGTTTTGCATCATATGTTTAGACAAATAAATAAATAAATAAATAAATAAGAAGTGTTTTTATGATGGGACAGTTTGCTCAGCGCGTCTTAATATATGCCTGCCATGTATTTCTCATAAACCATAATCAAATTGCTTATAATTTCATCGGAATTTTTCATCCAGTTCATTTAATCTTTTTCTTTTTTACGTATCTTTAAGACCTCAAAGATGAAACTATTCGATATTATATTTGGCTCTTTAGCATTTCAAGCCTAAACTGCGTCAGTCTGACAGTCTGAATTAAAGGGCAGTGAGCGGAGTAACTGTGAGGTCAATCAGTGCTGAATATGCGCGATTAGAAATATAGATTTCACAACAAAAATATGTGAAAGCTTAATAAAACGTCTGAGCCAGTAGATCATAAATTACACATGTAGTTTAGGAATATTATGATATTTCATCCGGCAGCCGTGCTGTTCCGTTTAGCTCACCAACCAGTGGATGATTATTATTCAATAAACAAACAAAAAACTCATAAAAACAGATTCGTTGCGATCTCAACACGAGAAACATTACAAACATTAAAAAAACACAAACATGTCGCTGCTGTCGGAACAAAACCTTGTATTTCCAAAATGGTAACTTTACAGGAGGAGGAAAAACCTGCTTTACTTTTAATGTAAGTCAATGGAACCAGACTTTTTCCCCAAGTCATTTTGGGTCGTTTCTTTTGGTCCATTCATCATAAAATTACACACAACATAAAGTACAACAGGTATATTTAAATTGTCTCAAAAACTGACAAAAACGACAAAAATCGAGATACGAGGTTTTCTTCCGACAGCAGCGATAAAGACAAGAGAAATGACTGCGCTAAACGCGCCTGCGTCCCTGTTTCTTTATGAAAACAAATGTAAATATGAATTTCCATCACAGTAAATATAAATTGTTTTAATTTTAAGCAGTCAGTAATCTACTGTTAAAATTCTGATCAGAAAAAAAAACAAAACAAGAAAACAATTAATAAAAAAAACAGCGCGGTGAATTTTATGAATCCGGTCATTTTTACTTGAATAAATTGCCTTTTTTAAACCGTTGATGTAGACCTACACACTGTAAAACATGAGTCAGCTTTGATTCAGTACTTAAACAGTAAGTTACCAGAACAGTAATCTGCTTTACTGTCTGTTATTAATTCATCTTCAAAATTTAAATTCAATAAAATCAAAATTTTAAGGTTACTTTAAAACACTCAATCATTTTTACAGCAATATAAAAAACTGATAACTGAGATTTCTACAGTGCTCTATAATGTTTCCAACCCTGTATATTAGTACTGTCGTACAGCTGTATATGATACAGTAAATCATATATAAATATGATATATATTTATGTATAATTCTTGTAAAATTATTTTTACTTCATAAGTGATGTCACATCACTCAGTTACTGTGTTTCAGTTCACTTTGACTGAATTTATTCACGTGGAAATCGCATTCAAGTCTGAAGGGCTGTGTGTTTAATAAAAGCAGTGAAAGTGTAAAAACTGTAAAAACGTGTAAACTGTAGTTCAGTAAACGCCATTTCGTTACAAATCAGTCGAATAAATTCTCTGCTTACATGAAATCAAAGCTGAGACGAGCGGAACGAACATTTTTCAGCTTTTCAAATCATCATCGGAGCTTCTCCTCTGGTTCAGTCACCGTGTGAAAGCAGGAGTGTTGATAACTGTGTTTACACGTTTTGCAAAGTTTTGCTGTTGAGATTCATGTTTTTAACACGTCAAATAAACCCGCCTAATATAAGTGGCGCGCGCAGAAGACGCGGTTAAACGGTATAAACCGTAAATACGTGTGAAAAGCAGTGAAACAGGCTTCGCTTTTGAGATGAACAGGATTAATATTTGACACACTTCAAAGAAACCTCAGTGGCGCGCGCTGGAGGCACGTATACACGTGCACAGACCCTAAATAAGTGTAATATTAAAGGTAACTGTATATGACGAGCGCACAGTTTGGGGTGTAACGTGTTTTAAACACAGACACTAAGTTGTGCGTGAATGCGCGTGAGTGCGCGTGCTCTTACCCGGGTAGGCCACGGCCGTGTGCACCAGCTCCATCCCCGCAGCCCCGGGCAGCGGGAGCCCGTTCATCGCGTAGTGGGGCTGCTGCTTTATGAACGACATCATGCTGCCCGCGGACGCGCTGACCACAGCACACACACACACACACACACTCAGTCTACTGCTACACACACTAAAAACACGGCAAAACACGACAAAACACGATAAAACACGACAAAACACGAGATAAACACAGACACTCAGACACACCACGACTCTGAACCGGGACACCAACAACTACTACTGCAGAGCGAGCACTAACTCTAACCCTCTCTCTCTCCCTAACTCTAACCACCACCCCCCCCCCTCTCTCTCTCTCTCCCTAACTCTCTCTCTTTAACTCTGACTCTCTCTCTCTCTCTCTGTCTCTCTCTCTCTCTCTCTCTCTCTCTCTCTCTCCCTAACTCGCTCTCTCTCTCTCTAACATTCTCTTTCTCTCTCTAACTGACTCTCTCTCTTTCTCTGACTCTCTCTTTCTCTTAAACACCTGTCTGAAGTTTCCTTTTTTTCTTTCTTTCTTGCTTTCTTTCTTTCTTTGTTTCTTGTGTTCAGGAGGCTGTTTTTGATTGATTAAATTGCCTGTGATGGAGGACACTGAACTCAGAAGCTTTCTCTCTCTCTCTCTCTCTCTTTCTAACACACGAGTTATCAGTCACACACCAAGGCTTAATACACGCCTCCACTGATGCTTATCAAGATTTTAATACTGTTCTAAATTTGTTTTTATTTATTTAATATTAGTTCATATTAGTATGATTAAGATTCTCAGTCAGTGAAGTTTAAAAGGACAGAAAGAAATACTGTCACATTTAGAGCCTCAGCGATGGGGAGGTTCCTCAGGGCTCTGTTGTGGGACCTTTTTAGTTCTGGTGTTCTGCCACTAAACCAGAAACAATTTATTGTTTTTCTGCTTCAAAATCAGCCGGTCTTAACATGTTGGGTTTCCTGAAACCAGAATAACACAGTCTAATATTTATCCTGCATTATTTTACCATTTGCATTATTTTATCAAGGATGTTTTAAAATGATTTATTACCATTAAAAGTCAATAATACATCCATCCCTCCACAATTTAGGACTCTCACTCTCTCTCAGTTTGGATGGTGTTGTTCCTGCATTCCTGCCAGTTTCAACTTAATGCAATAATAAGCAAATATGCTGATCATATCAGAGTCACATTCATGAAACTTTACAGAATGAAATGAAATGCTGATTTTCTTTTTCAATATTTTTAGTTTTACTTGTTTGCAACTTTTTTTAAGCCAACAATCTAATTTTGGACAATTTTCTCTTTTTTGTGTGGACTAAATGCTGATAAATGATTAATTATTTTTATTTAACACTAATGTTATTAGGGACTATTATAAATGGACTAAATTAAGTCCAAATTAAAGAGATACTTCTCACACACTTACAGTGATCCGAAATTAATCACACACACACAGACACACACACACACACACACACCCACACACACACACACACACACACAGCTAGGCTGATTTATCATAATGTGCTTTATCTGAAAAGTAAGTCTCTTAGTCCAGGATAAAGAGGGAAAAAAGTGATTTCTCATCAGAGGGAGAGAAAGGAGAGGAGAGGATGGACAGAACGAACGATGGATGGGCTTGATGAACCGACGTGATGGACAGAAAACTGCTGAACACAGAGAAGAAAAAGAAAGGATGGCTAAAGATGGATAAACCAGAGGGGCAGCAGCGGAGGAGGTCCATACGGACGTTGGTCCACAACGATGAAGAGGGACCTTACAGAGGAAAGTGACTGACTGATGGACAGATGGATGGATGGATAGATGAATAGATGGATGACTGACTGATGGGTGGGCCGATGGGTGGATAGATGGATCTACAGTCATATGCAAAAGTTTAGGCGCCCCTGGTCAAATGACGTGTCTTGCTGATTTTCTAAGTGAAAATAAGTGAACACATCCTGCACAGGGTGCACATATTTTTGCATATGACTGTATAGATATCAGTCTGAATGCTTCGATGTGTTTTTTGATTATTTAGATGGCAGTATGGGTAATGGATACCTGCATGGGCCGGTATTGTTTCAGAAAAATCAAAAATGGTGTATTTTACATTTTGCCAAAAAAATGCAAAACCAACTTCTAAGACTGAACTTAGAGGTGTGGACACTAGTTATTGGGGTTTCTGTGTGATTGGACAAAGAGTTATTGGGCTCTGTTTAACTTTTTCTCCATAGTAAATGATTCTTACATCAGTAAGAGTGTCGAAGACAACTGCACTCAGTTTAGTCTAATACAGCCATCCAAGGGGCTTCATCAGGTCAAATACATGGACTTGACTTAATCACATCTAGTGTTTTTAGAAACAGTAGCTTCAACTGCCTGTTAGCAACATTAGCATTGATTGGGATGCTCCTTTAAAGGGCCCATATCATGTAAAACTGAATTTTCCTGACTATTTTTCCAAATGTACCCAGTTTCAAAATGTACCGTTCAAGTCCATGCAGTCCATATATGGAAAATTAGCAGCAAAAATAGTCTGTTTTGAGTTGACTGGTTTTTGTGATGTCACAAAAACAACTCTTTTACATCCACCCATTCAGCCTGCAGCAGTTTAGCTCCACCAATTCACACTGAGGTTATAAAGTGTTTCAGCCTCAATAGATTCTTGAATGAGACAGCCAATCAGAATACAGATCATTTACATACATCAGTCTTAGAGATACAGCCTGTTTGATTCCATGAGATAAAGGCACAATGTTATAAGTGGACCTCTGGGGGGGAAAAGTACAAGAATAATGTAGCATACAGACCCTTTAATGCTTGATTCCTTTTAATGTTTCAAATGCTTACCCGACTCACTTCATGGCTGACTGGGAAGCTCTTGATGAGCTGAATCAGGTGTGATATGGCACTGCTGTGTAGGCCTGTAGGACTGGAGGCTAGAATCCCCACCAGTGCAATATGCTGTTGATATATTCCAAAATGTAAATAGAATACACTGTAATAAATCTATAAAATGTTATATTTTTGTTTGAGTGTTTTATGAAACAAGTTACCAACATGGTCAGAGCAAACATCATCAAAAGTCAGTGATCACCCATTTGTTATAGAAATTTCTATTCAAACAGGCCATTTAGTGCAATTTATTCATTCATCATCAGAAAAAAATCTCAGGAAACATATATTTAACAGAGAATTACTCATAAGGACGGGCAAAATCAAAGAAAAATACAAGAAAACAAGTTCAATTTTATTGTAAAATATAGATAAAACAAGACTCAGGGGTTCTTTAAAGAAAGTGGTTCGATTTAGAACCATGAGTTCTGTACAAACTCTTTCATGCTTAAATGGTTCTTTGCATGGTGAAATGGTTCTTGAGATTGATGGAGAATGTAGTGTATATGGTTCTATACAGCACCAAAATGGTTTCTCTATTGTTACAAGCTTGACATCATAAAAAAGTAGAACCCTTTTTACTGCTACATAGAACCATTTTCTTAAGGTCCTATATAGAACCACATGCAACATACTCTCCGTCAATCTGAAAAGCTAATTCACAATGCAAAGAATCATTTTAGCATGAAAATAGTTATTTGGTTCTCGTTTCAAAAAACAGTTGGGACGCTGTGCAAAATACAAATAAAACAGATTGCAAAGATGTGCAAATCATTCAAACCCTGTATTTCATTAAATTCGTATAAAGACAACGCATTAAATGTTGAAAATGAAACTGTATTTTGAAAGATATCTGCCCATTTTAAATTTGATGCCAGCAGCATTTTTCAAAAAAAGTTGGGACGGGGGCCTGTTTACAGCTGTGTTGCATCATCTCTTCATTTTAGCAAAACACTCTGTAAGCGAAAGCGAAATGTTTTCCTGTTATTCGTTGATATATGATTTCAGCTGCTCAACAGGTCGGGCTCTCCTTTGTCATATTTTTCATTTTATAATGTGCCAAATGTTTTCAGTGGTGACAGGTCTGGACTGCAGGCAGGTAAGTTTAGCACCTGGATTCTTTTAATATGGAACAATGCTGTTGTAATTCATGCAGAATGTGGTTTAACATTGTGCTGCTGAAATAATCAAGGCCTTCCCTGAAAAAGACGTCATCTGGATGGCAGCATTTGTTGGTCCAAAACCTGTATATATTGTTCAGCATTACTGGCTTTTGAACTGTGGGTTGATGACAAGCCGGTTCATCCCTTTCATCTTTAGCCTGGAGGATGTGACGTCAATGATGTCTGTCGGACCACAGGACACGTTTCCACTTCGCCTCAGTCTGTCTTAAATGAGCTCGGGCCCAGAGAAGGCAGTGGCGTTTCTGGATCCTGTTTATGTATGGTTACTTCTTTGGATAGTAGAGTTTTTATTTGCATTTGTGGATGCAGACTGCAAACTGTGTTTAGAGACAGTGGTTTTCAGAGCCATTAGGCCAATGCAGTGACTTCCACTACAGAATTGTATCTGTTTTTAATGCAGTGCTAACTGAAGGCTCGAAGATCACGGCTAGCCAATATTGGTTTTTGGCCTTGCATTCAGAGATTTCTTCAGATTCTCTGAATCTTTTAATGATATTATGTACTGTAGATGATGAAATCCCCAAATTCTTTGCTATGTGATTATGAGAAACATTATTCTTGAACAGTTTCACTGTTTGCCTACGCAGTGGTGAACCCCTCCCCATCTTTACTTCTGAAAGACTCAGCCTCTCTGATGCTCTTTTTATACCCAATCGTGTTACTGACCTGCTTGCCAATTAACTTAATTAGTTGTGAGATATTCCATTAGGTGTTTTTTTGGCATTACACAACTTTACCTGTCTTTTTTTGCTCCATCCCAACTTTTTTAGAACGTGTTGCTGGCATCAAATTCAAAATGGGCATACATTTTTCAAAAACGATAAACTTGGTCAGTTTCAACATTTAATATGTTGTCTTTGTATTATTTTCAATTAAATTTAGGATTAGAACGATTTGCCCAACATTACATTCTATTTTTATTTACATCTTTACAGCGCCCCAACTATTTTGGAAACGGCATTGTATATACAGCCATTATCTCTGCTAAAGAACCC